TGATGTTGTCGTTGATGAGCAAGTGAAACAATACAAATTGAGGATAAATATCCGAATGAGATAGTTTATGAGGTGTTGAACGACGTTCAAAAAGTTTTGGATTTGGATTAGTATGATCACTAGCTGAACGTGTGGATGATGTATCAACAAGAAGCTTTTTTACTGAAAGTGTTAGTTGATCTGAAGGTACCGAGGCTTGTTTATATTAACCCTAATACGACCGAAGTGGGTCATTTTATCCCGTTCTGCCATATATATACAGTGAAGAGAAGGCATGGTCGTACAAGGGTTAAAAACAGGAGAAAGAAATTTGTTGCAGTCATTCAGAATCGATCAATCAATCAATTGCTCTACTTATAAAAGTAGTAAAAGACAAATATATTCACTACAAATAGATATAATTATACAACAAAGGCGAAATAATCTTAATCGTAATTATTTAGACTAGTTTTTTTGTTATTCTTTCTTAGTTCATCAGTTAATTAATATATATGAAGAAATACAATTTTTTTTATCTATTACTTTATAAAAGAGATTCATTTTTTTATTAATAAATAAATTTGACGAAAGAATTTATTTATTGAATTGATTTTATCTGGATAGTTAACCATCAATTTAATCTCTAGACTCAAAATAATCCCATTAGAATATTCAAACTGAGATTAATTCGTATCTGAACAATAAATCAATACTTCTAATCATTTTTTATATGTTGATATATTAATTCTAATAACTGAGTAAAATTTACTTTTTCATAAATAGTGTTAATTTATCGTCGAATCTTAATTGAAAAGAAATAATTAGTTGATATTGTCTTGTTTTATTGAATAATATTAAAAGAAAAAAAGTTTCCAGTGGTTTCTACTCAATTAGTTGATAATGGAAGCGAGCGAGAATGCTACGGACAGACACAAAACAAATACAAAAAAAGAGAAAAAAAAAGAGAAAGAGACGATAAATGGAGGAATACTAAAAGCATGATGCCGAACAAATTTTTATTAAAGTGAATTATTCTCTTCAATTTTTTAATTTGAACGTCTTTTTAAATGAATTTCATCTTTTCTATGTTTTTCATGTTCAAATATTGTTGAATAAGATGTTTCACATGATAAACATCTATATGTTAATTGTTCTATTTCAAATATATGACCTGATAAACTATTTAAATCTTCACGTAAATTTATATTAACAGGTGAGGTTGATGGGGATATTTGCCAACAAAGTAATGCATGACATCGACATGATTCATACAATGGACCTAAAACATTTTTAGTAAAAACACAAAATTTCTTTTATTAGTTTCATTAATCAGGGAAATAAATAGATTTGTCATGATTCAAGCAGAATAATGGGAAAAAAAGTTCAACTTACCATTTCAAATAAAAACACATATCAATTGTAAAAGTTCAGATAAAAGGCATATCTGTAGATTCTCGTTGGTCAACAGAAGGACTGCTTATTTTCTTCATTTTAACGAATAGGAAAGCTCAATGGTATCTGCTGGATTTTGATAAATTTTAGTAGATTATCAGAGATTATAATGGACTTCGATTCGTACTGAAAAATCTCTTTGATGATTTGTTCTTTCTAATTGAGTTTGATTCTATTCTCATTTGATATTGTAAAGAGGATCGAGAGACTATTCATTTTATTTGCTGTTTTTATCTCGAACATAGTTAAAAGACTAGCTTCATCATCTTACTTATCTTTATTTCTATAATATCATGAAGATTTAACATTATCTCTTTTGAACTCTTTTCGACAATTGTTGAAATTCTGTTCATTTAGTCAAAATAATAAAAATATTCTCAATGATGAATGAAGGGTGTGAACAATAGATGAATAAATACTGATTTTATTCTATTCAATATTGATTAACTAAAAAAGTAATCGACCCAAACTCTAATTAACATATTCTAATAAACTGTAAGGCTTTATCAGTCATTATTCGTGTAAAGAACAAATAAATATTCATTTGGTATTCGATTTGCAGAGAGAAGAAACAAAGAAAATTTTTCATAATAAAAAAGACAACTGGTATTGTAAATAGTTAATTTGTTAGTTATAGAAAGTGTGTGTACTTGTAAACTTAAAAACAAGATGACATCGTTTACAAGCATAACAATCATCAAATTTGGTAATCAATAGATGTATGACCATTGTCAATTGATTGTTGAATATTATTTTCATCTTGTGTATATTGAGCACGTATTAAATTAACATCTGATTTGTTTAATGAAACTATTTTATTGAAAGCTTCCAAAGTAATTGTAACATAAACATAGATGTACCATGAATATTTGGAGCCATTAAACCATAATTATAAGGATCCATTGCTTTAGACAAATAAAAATCTTCTAGATGAAAAATAAAAAAAAAAGAAGTAAAACCGACCAATTGGCATAAAATACATTAAATTTAAATAATTAATTAATTGATTTTATTTTTGTTTCGATGAGTTATCTGATACTGATGTTGAAGAAGAA